TAAGAAAAAGCCATACACAATAATTCTGTAAATTATTCTGTTTACAATTCTGAGATTAAAACATAATCTTGACAGCACAGTGAAAACATTTCTTTTAATAGCCACCTGTAATACAAAAAAAGACTACAAAAACAACTTCAAATGTATTTATTCATATGTCTTATGAACTATATGCACTGGTGTCACAAGTAACTCCTTTTACAGCATGGCAAAATTCCAGGTAACAGAGATCACTTCCACAACAGAAGCACAGCTGCCTGTTTTGTCCTACTTATTTAACTAACATACATGCTTGGATTTAAAGCACGTAACGAGTTCAACTCTAATACAGCAACAGCTAGAGACTGAAAAGCACATAACAGTGCCCTATGAGAGCTGTTTGAATATTGATCTATCCAGCATTTAGAATGAATATCAATCATTTGACAATCCAGGATTCTGACGTGCATGCTTTCCCATACACCTATTTTAGTTCATTAGGGTGATCTGACTCAACATCAGATCATCATAAAAAAAACCGAATACAATTTTAAAAAACAAGGGTAAGCGTAAATCATAAGCTGAGAAGCATAGGTAATCAAGAAAGCCTCCTCCAAATAAGTAGTTGGGGCAAGCTACTCTTGGCTTCAAAGAGCTTACAAAACTGGTTTTGACTGGCAGAGTCATGGCAGACAGTCCAACAACCTACAGGAGTTTCATTAAATATTCAAGGCTAGTACTTATTCCTCTCATTGTCACAAGTTTGTTAAGATTAAAGAAAGGAAATGCTGGACTATATTTATACATACAACTACACCAGTGGACTATTCTTGTTGCACACAATTCACTTTTCAAGGGTTAGGCAGAAAACTCCACTCATCTATAACACCTTCTTCCTTAGCTGCAGACATTTTCCCTTAATATCCTAGAGCCCTATGGGTGAATATCCAGAATTCAAGAGATAAACAAACCAATTTAAAATTAAAGCCACAACTGTTAAGGGAGTGACACTTTCAACAGGCCATCTACTTCGCTCCTTTGATCCATTCATGAGCTCAGAAAAAGCAGGCTTCTATTTGTTCATTAAGCTTAACAGGCCTGTAAAAAGACATCACTAGTCCACCACAAAATCCAATAAAACAGACGTGCGAGCAGGAAAGATTGTGACAGTTAGGACTGCACAGCTGCCTTGTGAAACCTCATCTTTAGTTGCCAAGTCAATCTATTACACATCAATTACCTCGTTTTAGCATTTCAGAAAGTTTCTTTTGTTAATTGATATTTCTCATTTCAAGCATCCAAGTACTTAACATTACCGGAATGAAACGTTTGACAAGCTTTCCAATGTTGTCAATGAAAATAGTTTCATTGGCTCTTAGTGTCAAGAAATTTTCTGAGGTACCTAGGCCTAAAACTTCAGATTTAAGAAAAATAGTTGAAACAGAGGACTCCAAAGAGGGGTGCATTTAATATAGTCCATTGGGGAGCAAAAAAGGATTTTTAGCACCAATAATATCTAAAATAAAGTAAAAATTTTAAAATGTGCTTATTTTGGCTTTAACTCAGTCTTTTTTTTTTTTCCTTTTTCCTTCCTTTTAAAACCCATAACACGTGTCCAGGAGAGGTGGTTGATGCCCTGAGTCTACCAGTCCTTAATAACATGATTTAACTTTTGGTCAGCCCAGAATTAGTCGGGCAGTTGGACTAGGTGATCACTGTAGGTCCCTTCCAACTGAAAATAGAGTAGAATAGACCAGACTATGTTGTGTACATTTGCTAATGTGCATACTGGTACAGCAGCACACGCATATAATTTATAAATAAATGTAAACATACTAGGGGTCTGTGCTCAATTATCTTTCACCTATACTGGTGCATGATTGAAAACATTCACCACTGGTCACTGATCTTCTCTATACACAATCCAATCTCTCCCAACAAGTAAAATAGGACTTTTTGGTTCAAAAACACTAACAGAACTCCATCTGGTTTTTACCAACACTACTTACCCCAGTTTCTAATCTTAATACCTAGACTGATTCCAAAACAGAAAATAATCCATTATTTGGGATAAACTTTCCTTCGTTCCACTAGTTCTTAGTTCATAGTAGATGAAACGGAGCTTTAAACAGTACTATGTCACTTTAAAAAATATACATACTGAATGTAAGCTCACAAACCTGAAGGCATTTCAAAGGGCCCCCTGCTTTTGAAAAACTCAAAACAGAACTTTCCCAGTCTCACCACCTCATTTTACATGAAACCTCTCATATACAGCTGAGATAGTAACAAGTCTTAACAAGAACATTAGCCTGAAGGCTTTTCTACTTCAAGAAATTGAGTTAGTTCAACCTGACTAGAACTTATCCTTGTTTCAAAGAAGATACTTTTGACAAATGAAAGCATTTTCTAGAATGCAGTAATTTTATTTTATATAAGTTCAACATTCAAAAATAAAAAAACCTACAGAAAAATTCAACCCCAATAAAACAAACAAACAAACAAACCCCACAGGCACACTCAAAACCCAAGCTATATACAGAAAAACAATGGAAGAAATTCTTTTTAAAAATGCCCTTGACCAAAATCTTTATTCTTACAGGTTTTTGCTAACAGCCAGTTGTCCACAGAGGCGGTGAGACACTTTTTTAGTTTAAGATCAGTCGGTGATCAAGCCTGGCAAAGTCAGCACCTTCTTCAAAAGCACCCATTACAAACTGAACCAAAATCTATTTTAAAAATGTAAATGGCCTCTGAGTTTACTCAACTCTTCTGCAGCAAGTGAATTCTTCTAGTCCTCTGTCTGTAGCCAATTATACAATGTTTAACATTTCAAAACAAGTCTAAGCATGTGAGTTAATGAACCTCGTCCTTGGGAACAGACCATAAAGTAAACTACATTCTAGACAACAGCGCACATCTTGAGAAGCATTCCACATGCCCGTTGGGTTTTTTACATATTTTCCCAGAAAAGAAGAACAATTGTGCTCTGCTGACAAACTACAGCTACAGGTTCAAGAACTGGCAAAAGCTAGAAGAGTGCACAGTTTATATATAAGTGTGCCACAAACCTAAGGAAACACAGGCCACATGGTGATGTTCCCACAGCATAGTCACCAGGCTGATTATGTCCTAGCTGGATACCCATCTAGGTTCCAAAAACAGCATCAGCACCCCAGCAAGGAACTAAGGAACAGTCATGTGGAGCACAATAAAACATAATGTGATGAAATCTCAGCATAACTTAAAACGAGACTTTTAAGGCTATGACTGTTATTTGACATCTTCCAGTATCAGCTTTCTAAAGTTGGATTGTTGGTTTTCCCTGGTAATCTGAGATGAACTCTATATTACCTGGAGCTGGCGATATTTATAGACAGATTTAGGGTCTAATCTAAGCAGTATTTAAAAGGATTCAGCATCAAAATTTAAAGTCAGTTTCACAGTTGTTTCATTGACTGCATCAAATCAAACTGACACACAAGATTCACACTAATACAATGAGAATTAAGAGTAAGGCACGTAATGTCAATTATTCACACAGTCTCAAACTGGATGTTGCTGCAGCAGCAACCTCCATGCAAAAGCCATGACAAGTTTTCTGTTATAAAGTTTTCCATAGAAGTTTGTGAACTTCTGTGTTATAACAGTCTGAGTAGTGAGTTTGTTCTGTGCTTTACAGAAACTATTCCATATCTCCTACATTCATATGTTTTTTATATAAAACACAGAACCTGAAAAGGCAGAAGACATGAAGCATATTGGCAAAAACCAAAAAAATTTGCTACAAACACTCCTTACGTTAAGCATAAGCGCTATTTAGTGTTAAAATAAAAAAAAAGTTGGTTGGAAGTCTCATTTTTCAGGCATAACTGGTGTTAACTGCAAGTAGATTGATGTTACATATTTTCTTAACGCTACATTGCTGTCAGTAAACATCGTGGCTTAATCGCTCTGATTCACAAATAATGAAGTATCTATAAACTTCATTTCAAATTTTCCAACTGTTTCTGGAAGAATAAGAAAAAAATTAACAGCTGGGGGTGCAGGGTCCGAGAGCTGACAAGCCGACGGATACTCACTCTGCAGTACCAGATGCTCAGCTGAGATGGGGATAAAACTGCGAAGAAAGCTCTCTGGGGATCCGTCTGGATGTGAAGCGGTCGCTCCAGAGTCTCCAGAGGACACAGCAGCCTCTTGGGCCAGCCGCTGAGGAAATACATGACTGTGGATCTCCCTGTGCCCGAGGCGCGGGCGCTCAGCCTGCTCTATCCTAGGCGGGGGGCAGCGGGGACATCAGCCGAGGGAGAGGCGCAGGCTCGGCGGCCGATCGCGCATAATCACGGGCACAGGACGGGACGGCCGGAGACGCGGGCCGAGGCCTGCCCGGCGTTGGGGCCGCCGGTGCCGGGGCGGGGGTGAGTGCGGGCTGGCGCGAGGGCCGGGCGGGCCTGCGGGAGGCGGCGCGGGGGGGCCGGGCCAGTCGGTCACTGCTCCGAGCGGGCGCCGCGGCGCTACGGCGGCGGCAGCGGCGGCTCCGCCCTCCCACGGGTGCCTCGCCCGCCCGCGCTCCGGGTCGGTGTCGTCGCCGAGAGCCCCGCCGCCATGTCCTACCGCTCCCCCTCCCCCTCCTCCTCTTCCTCTTCCTCTTGCCGCTCCTCCCCCCCCTTCCCCTGTTCCAGGCCCCGGGCGGCGGCGCGGGGCGGGCGGGGCGGGCGGGGCGGGGGCGGGGCCGCGCCGCACGGAAGTGACGGCAGAGGCGTGCGCGTCACTGCTCCGGGCGGAAAAGGCGCGCCCGGCGCCGGGGGCGCGAGGAGTGCGTGCGCAGGAGGGGCAGGGGAATGGGGAGCTGGGCTGAACCGGGAGAGAGGGGAGAGGGGGCAGACGGAAAAGGAGTGGGGAGCGGGGAGAGAGGGAAAAAGAGCGGAAGGAAGAGGTGCAGGGCGAAAGGGGAGTTGGTGTAGAGGGAAGGGGAGCCGGGGGAGACGAAAGCGGAGGGGAGAGGGAAGCGGAGCGGGGGGTGACAGGACAAGGGGAATAGATTCCAGGAGAGAACAGGTTCAGAGTAGCTATAGAGGAGGAAGTCCTCTGCTGTGAGAGTGGTGAGGCACAGGCTGCCCAGAGAAGTTTTGGATCTGCATCCCTGAAGTGTTCAAGGCCAGGCTGGATGGGGCTCTGTCCAGCCTAGTCTAGTGGAAGGTGTTTCTGCTCATAGCAGGGGGGTTGAAACGAGATGATCTGTAAAGTCCTTTCCAACCCATGCCATTCCGTGACTCTTCGATGAATTCTGTGTGGGGTGAGCTGTGTCGGGGGCAGGGTGAGCACAGGGCACGGTTGCTCATGCAGTGTGTGTACCTGGCGTTAGGCGTCTGCCAGGGGCAGGCACAGAGGTTTCTCCCAAGTGATGACTTGGATCAGTGTTCCACACTGGGTTATTTTTATCCAAGGCCTGTTACTTAATCTTGTTTCCATGATTGCCCACATGCTTTTATTTGCACGTTACGGAGAGAGTAGGAGCATGTGGTGTGAAGGATGACAAGTAGAAATAGAAACTAAAGCTACAGCTTTAGAGGTAGTGAATGAAGCTAGTTGGTATCTCTCTTGGCAAATAAAAAGAAATGGAAGAGAACTAAAGGTAAGATCTCTACGGTGTTGCAAGGGCAGTGCTTGTGTTACAAAGAAATAGCTATTGCTAGAAATAAGCAGAAAAGTTTTGTGAACCAGTCCCCCAGCACTGCCTGTTAGAGGAGTTCCTCTGGACTGAGCTATCTATAGAGAGGTCTCACTGCATGCAAATTATCCAGTGCCCTTCAAAGAACATGGCCTGTCCCCACTCCTAAGGCCTGCTTTGTCCTAACAGCTTTCTGGTAATACATTGTTCTTACCATATGAATACTGTGTGTCCCAGCTGAAATATTTTTATCTGAACACAAAAAGAGAATCCGTATCTATTAGAATCCATATCCATATCTGTTAGAATCCAGACAAAACCATAATAGACCTTGGAAAAAAATATAGTAAAGGAACAAAACACCAAGATATTTCATACCTTATGCTTTTAACTGGGCAACTTGAAAATGTCCTACCATCAAATTCCCCACTCTCAGATATGTGCCAACTAATGCTTCTTCTACAAACATCCTCCTTGCTATAGTGTTTTCCCTGAATGCTTTTTGACAGCTAGCCTGCTAAATTAGGAAATGGAAATTATATTAGAAGTGTGGCATCATTTCATTTTATTGATTCCCCCTCTATTCCTCAGATTATTAAACAAAGGGCACGAAATGCATCCTGAAGAATATTTACAACTTCAGAATCATCCTTCTTTTGGATTAATTGCATTTTACCAAGTTCATCTTACTTCATGAAAGTACAGAAAAATTTGTCAAAGAAAATCCATGAAAGAATTAGTAAGGGACCTGCATGCCTTTCATACTTTGTAGCTTCCTTAGTTAATGCTGCTGCATTCTAATATGTTCATTCAAGTCATGTTGTTGGTGCATGCAGATCAATGCCAAGTTGTGTGCTGGGAGCAGCGTTAATGAGGGAAACAAGTACTGCTCTTAATAGCAACTGGATTGTAGAATTTTGTTGTAAAAGTGGAGACTGGAGCCCTTGTAAGTTTTGGATTGCTGATATTGTTCTTTTCTCCATGGAAAGGCATGAGGCACATATTTGAAATTAGAAATAATGGTGGTAGCAGCATGTCATTAGAAGTATGACTATCGAAACCCACACATCAATAATACGAATGCAATCTAAACTGTGTGATATTTTTGATACATTTTTGTAGGCTAAATCAAAAATACATGCCTAGAATAGTAATGTGGTAATAATAGACTTTTTCTAATAATAGGCTGTTTGTACTTGACTACAAAAGCATATTTCCCAGTGTTGTGGTATGGGAATGTAACTCATAATACCTTGAGACACAAAAGTTGTATAGAAATAAAATGCATACAGTGGACCAAGCTCAGAGAATTTCTTGAACAGATCTGGCAGTGGCTACCAAGGCACAATTACAGAATATAGCAGCAAGACTATGATAACAAAGCTCAAGAGAATTGTGAAAGCCCTTTATGCACAAAGGTCCACTTGTCAGTTGTCATCAAGTTCACCTAGTTGAAGATAAGACTTGCTTGCAGCTGCCTATTCAGTGACAGTCACGTTGTTTTGGAAACTGCGCTCTTGAGGTAGCTGTGTCCTGGAAAGGAAGAGCTCATGCAGAGCTGTGGGAACATCCAGGGACATTGAAATATCATAAACCTAAATACATAAGTCCTGATGTTACCAGGCTAGTGAAAGGAAGGAGGAGACACTGCTGGTGGCAAAAGTAGATTGAGAATGAAAATGTTGGATGAGAGTAGCTATTCTGTGTAGTTGCCACTGTTAAGAGTCCTGGTGTTGATGTGCAGCTATTGCCATAAGCTGTCATTTAGATTCTGCAGCTGCTTCTCACGTAATGTTATATCTGCAGCTGTTCCATGAGCAATGACGGAGAGTCAGTCCTTGCATGTTAAATTTAAAAAAAAAACCTGCAACATAGCTCAAAGTAAAAAAACAAAAACAAAAAAAAAAAAAAACAACAAACAAAAAACTGACAGAAAGACTGTTAGTGAGGCGAGGCCGTGGTCAGTGTCATGAAGTTTTTGCCATGCTGCTTACAGACGCAGGTATGGTGTCATATAAACCCAGAAAGTGTGTGACAGTTCGTAAGCACATCTGTTTTGTGCATTAAAATGTCTTTATTAAGTTATCTTCATTTCTTAAAACTGGTCATGGAACAAATGTGTGCTTTACCTTGCAGATTTTTGCTGATGAAGTGTGAAGATTGCATTAGTCTGTTATTTAAACTGCACATTTTATCATTTTAGTCATCCTTTGACCCACCAAAATGGACTTTTACACTGAGAACAGTTCCATATAAACAGAACAAGGTAGGCAAATACTCAACTCATTTTCCCACAGAGGTTATCTCAGAGGGTGAATTATAATGTTTGTTAGCAACCTTAAAGATGAAATGTAAACCAGTATTGAAATAATAGTATTAGAAATTAAAAAAAAGAACCCAATAAAAGGGAAATGATTCCTTATAACACAATAAGAAAATCTTATGTTTTTAAAAATAAAAATAAAAAAACCAAAACAATGGGTTAAATGTCAAGACCAGTCAGCTGCAATTAATAAAGAGAAAAGTCGCTCTGATTTTTTCAAACATTTTCTGAATTCAGCCAAGTGAGATGGAAGGAGTAGAAGGAGTACTCCTGTGAAAGAGACTGTTTAGGAAGAAGGGGAAGAACAGTTTATTCTATTGGTACTGCAAAATCGAACTCAGCAATTTGTGCTTAGATACAGTAGATGACCTGAAGTACTGGGACAAAAACAATAATTCTGGAATAGAGTACAGTACAGTTCTTAATCCTAATGTTTATATTTCTGTTGATTTTTAAAAATTATTTTGTATACCTGGCTACATTTAAATACAGTAAAAAGCTAAAGATAAATTCCACCTGATTTTTCTAGGAACCATTCACTCACAAGGGGTCACAAATTTATCTGGCAACATTATTTACCATTTGATAACTTATAAGGCAATGCAATTAATAATTACTGATTTCAGATAATTCTCTAATAACATGTAAATACTTACCATCCATTTTATAGTTTATTGTCCATTTCACAAAAGTCACGCACAGAACCATATCTATAACTAACCAGCAGTATAATTCAGTACTGTTAGAACCCAGTTTCCTACGTTTTTCAGTAGTGTTTTGCAATAATGTTTCTGGGGTTTTTTTTTCAATGAATGAACCAAACAACTGACACCTTTTCATTCTAAATTTTTGAAAGGTATCTACTATTCAAAAGTGGCTTTTCCCATGTGTTCAAGAACCCAAACCTGAAATTTGCAAGTAAATTTACTAGTGAATTTTAGAGTGAAAGTATGTGTGGATACAGATACTACAATAAAGTTGCAGTTGTGGTTTAGGTAGATTAGAAATCAAATAAATTTGGGCCCAAAATACTTTGTTTTGTTTTTTTATCTCTGAGAAAATAGAAAGGGAAATCACAGCAGAGCTCTTTCTGTGCATTAACAGCCATACATAATATATAAAGCCAGATAAAAAGGGAAAAAATATTTCACAATTCTGAAAGCAACCTGTAACATTTAGTGGATTAATCATTGTCAATGTCAATAAAGATATGTTCCAAAGCCATGATCTATCAGATTTAACATAGTTAGCACAACATTTGCAGAAGATCTGAGTTCTTGGGATTATACAGCCCTGAGGACTTCAGTTTGGTTTTCATAACTGCTATGAGTTCAGTAGGGTGTTTTTTTAAAACATCCTCTACATCAGTGAAAATATCCTTAGAAATTCAGTCTGTTCTTTCAGACTTTATTATTTGGGTTTCACTGACTGGTGAATATGTTTGTATTTTCATGAATACCTTACCACTGAAGTATTTGCTTTGTGCACACAATTACTTTGCCAAAAGCCATTGTGGTTTCTGAATATGTCTGGAGAACTGCATTCCTTGACGGTCTTTGATATCTGATACTAGGAACTGAAACATCCCGAATCACCAATCATTTTTAATGTCTTGGCTTTAGGAAACAAGTTTATTCTTGTGGCTTTCCAAGCAGAAAAAAAGCATTGTAGAAGGAGCTAACTGACTGGTGTGCATTTTCTAACATAATTTTCAGTATAAACCAGCGCTGGAAAAGCATTCTTTATTCACGGTGAACAAACTGACCAAAGAACCGTGTGAGCTGCCTTATGCAGAAGAAAATTAGTGAAGCGTTTTTGGGGTGATGACTGCACATTTTTACCAGGTAACACAACCTATGTAAAGTACAGGGTACATGGTACAATTAGAGTATATTAGATGGATATGGGAGTTGCGGACAAAAGACTTGAAGAGATAGGAGCTCTTGTGTATGGAAGCATTGGTAGGTGGGGTGACCTAGACTTATCATATGTTATGCACTTAAAGTATTTGTTTTATTAGGTGTTTCTGGAATTTTGTGAACATCTGCTTTACTATATAATCTGAAACTAACAAAAGCACACTTGAATTATATTGCTATACATACTATAACTGTACATGTTATCCTTAACACTTGTGTTATACAGTGTCAACTCCTCCGTTGAATTTGAATGTTTTCAGTCTGAAGATGAACAGTAAAGGACAACACAGATGTTGGAGACAGGAGTCCGGTCTGTTGAACATCATCTGCAGCATGGGACTACAGTCTATATCCAAGAAGCAGGGTCCTTTCTTACAGGTGGCAAGGTGCAAAACACATTTTCAAGTATCTTCTTGAGCAGATATAGGGAACAAAGTAAAATCAAAGAAGAAAACACTGGGATTTTCTTATATAATATTAGTGGATATTAACCTTATGTTGTCTTCTGTGTCTCTTCGTTGTAGGCACTTGTTTGGACTGGATGCATATTAAATAACCTCCGACAATGTGTTAAGATAGTGATAGCGTTTAGCAGTGCCCTCTGCAGGCTTTTATTTGGTAAGCAGAGAAAGCTGTAGCAACTCTGCTCTGTTTTGATTATGTGTTTGTTTATACTGGTTGAGCTGGTTCTTTTTATGTATTTTGCTAGCAGAGTACCATCTGAACTTTGGAATTTTGTTCCCAAGCTGCTTGGAAAAAAACACAGAGTGCTGTAAGTGATCCACTAAGTGCTACAGAAATTACCCGCTTGTTTCAAGAGCCTAGTTTCTTATCAGTTTGTGTGTTACAACCATACAGCGTCCTGGGCAACAGGAATTCAAGTTCCCATCGCTCTTCCCCCTAGGAACTTATTTCTGTCTGTACTGACCTGGCTATGTCTGAAAGAAATGGGTGATCAATTCAGCTTTCAGTCCTTTGTGATCAGTGACTACACTGAAAAAAAAATCAGCTTTTTTTTAAGGGCCTTGTGTCACAATCAGCCAAGCTGTTACTGAGTCAGAGCCATCCAAACATCCCTAAAATACAGTTAAAAGTACAGTTGAAACTGTCACTGTCAGAAGAGGCATCATATTTTGAGCTGTTTCCTGTTGAAGTCCAGTGTTAAAGAAATTATTTTCAAATTCTGCCTTTTTTACCTATTTGTTAATGATCTGTATGTTGCGGCTCAAAAATATCTTCTAGTTGCAGGACAGAACTTGGAAATAATTTCTGTCTTAGTAAATTACATGCAAATCAATTGCTCATCCCAATCATCATTGATTAAATGGTAACCATTTCAGTACAAGAATACATCACAATAAAGTAGAGCCTTTTCATTACTGTATTTATGAGTAAATTGCTGCCATTCGTGTCTATGCCCTTCACACCAAAGAAAATATGTTTTCCAATTATGAGGCTCAGAAATATGAGGACAGCTATATGCCAAGAGTTCTGTCTTCTAATCTGAGACCATGGAGTGACATCTTTGTGGTCTCTGGGATGTCATCAAAGTCTTTGTTGTTAAAATCTTACTAAGATCTTAGTGTTATGTGTGTAAATTATCTAAAGAGACAGATTGGAACATTTTTGTCAAGCAGAAGCTTGTACTTACTGAGCTGAAGGGGCAAAAGATGCAATGTCAGGACTAGCTGCTAATATGCATACAAAAAAAAGTATGAATACTGTCAGTTATATTCCTAGATGGACCTCACAAATATTGAATAACAGAAAAATAAACCCATTAAAGAAAAATGCATTTGAAAAATTATAGAAAGTTGGTTTACTTTATCCACATTTAGAAAAATATCTAGGTATTCTGTGGCTTGTTCAGAGGTTTGATGTTTGTAAATTAACACTATGTGGAGCTATAGAGCTTGTTCTTCAGGAGATTTAAATTAGATAGCATCAAACCAGCAAAATAAAAGGGGAAATGCTGTATGAACTTCTGCTTTTAGGCTACACTGCAACAGTCACAGTTTTTCAGCCACTGAACCATGCCAACTTTTCAGCAGTTCCTTGACAGAGTTAAATAGACATTTTCCTAAATGTAATCAAAGCTCTTGTGTTCCATTAATAAGAAAAATAAAAGTATTTCAGCTTTTGTAGATTACAGCCACAAAACTACTGAGTGGGAAGAAAACAGGTTGGAATGCTGACAGAACACAATATATTTCTGTACACCAAGGCTTACTTGTTTTGGTAAGCATGCTATGTGTCATTGGATGTCAGTTTTTCAGCTTTGATACTGTTTTATGACTTGGCTTAATACTTATAGTAAATAAATAAGGACATGCTGTTGCAGAAATGTTTCCATTACTCATCTTTTTGGAATGATATGATGAAACATAGCACCAAATATTCTTAAACAATCCTGGGAAACAGGTCTCAGAGTGACTGTCTTATAGTCTCATTAAGAATAATTACTAGATTTTATTAAGAATACTGCAATTCCATATTAAGAGTTATTTTTCTGTTTTACTTATGTAGGTCAATGAAAATTGCTGGCCAGTGCTGAATATACTGAAATAATCTCTGTGATGGGAAATGCACATACATTATAGAGTACAGATGCAGGAAGATATTTAGTCAGAAGGCTCTGGTTTAGCAAGCACATGCTTAATTGCCTCAGAGACCCACATCAGTTTCAGTTATACTTTTAGTTTCCATACTATACAGATAAGAGGTTCTTATTCACACACTAAAAATTAATGAAGCATGCTTTTAATGCGCTCCGAAACCACAGCTACAATATCAGCTCTTAAACACTTTTTTAATCATTGATGTTTTGCCATAACAAATGCTAACTCAATATTACTTTACTGATAATAAGAAGAACATTAATTTATTAGTAAGTTCGAAGTGTTCTTGTCACTTGAACATGGTGGGCTGTTCTCACCCTTTCACATCAAAAAGGCACCAAGGGCAACAAGAATGATCAAAAGCCTCAGGATTGCAGGTTGCTGAGTAGGATCTGACCAAGGGTTAAATTTGTGTACAAGGATGTGAAAAGTTATTGTACATGACCTGAAAAGGACTGCAAATGTGAATGTATCTTTAAGATACGTGAGTGAGAGCATGCCTATGTTCCACTATTCAAGACTGATCAACAAGAAAAGAGGAACTGAATCAGGCCACCTCTGTGTCCATGCACTTGTATGAGTGCAGTTTGTGTTTGGTGGCAGACACAGAAGGAAGAGATGAGGGTGCAACAGTGCAAAATCTATCAGACTAGATGGTATGAATAAGGTGTTCACTGTCCCTTCCATTATAAGACCTAGGGAGTATCCAGTGAAGCTTGCATTTGGATAGGTACTGAATAAACCTATTAGTTTATTCTATCTAAATAGGAGAAAGTCAGTGTGTCCACTTCTTGAATAGGTTGTTAAGGTGCAGACACATTTTCTCACCATTTTATGATTTTTTCCAAAATGAGTTCTTCAGCCAGTATGATTGTTACTTGAGGAGTGGGAAGGCTGTGGATGTGGTCTATCTGGACTTCAGCAAAGCCTTTGGCACTGTCTCCCACAGCATACCCCTGAAAAAGCTGGCAGCCCACATCTTGGACAAGGGCACTTTCTGCTGGGTTAGGAACTGGCTGGAGGGCTGGGCCCAGAGTAGTGGGGAATGGTGCTGCATCCAGTTGGGTCTAGTTCTATTTAATATCTTTATTGGCAATTTAGATGAGGGGATTGAGTGTACCATTAGCAAATTTGCAGATGACACCAAGTTGGGGGGAAGTATTGATCTGCTGGAAGGCAGGAGGGCTCTTCAGTGGGACCTGGACAAGCTGGAGAGATGATCTGATTCCAGCGGGATGAGGTTCAACAAGGCCAGGTGCCAGGTCCTGCACTTTGGCCACAACAACCCCCTGCAGCACTACAGGCTGGGCACAGAGTGGCTGGAGAGCAGCCAGGCAGAAAGGGACCTGGGAGTTTAGATTGACAGGAAGCTGAACATGAACCAGCAGTGTGCCCAGGTGGCCAAGAAGGCCAATGGCATCCTGGCCTGGATCAGGAACGGTGTGGCCAGCAGGACCAGGGAAGTGATTCTTCCCCTGGACTCAGTGCTGATGAGGCCACACCTCGAGTGCTGTGTCCAGTTCTGGGCCCCTCAGTTCAGGAAGAATATTGAGGTGCTGAAGCAGGTCCAGAGAAGAGCAACAAGGCTGGTGAAGGGACTGGAGCACAGGTCCTATGAGGAGAGGCTGAGGGAGCTGGGGTTGTTCAGCCTGGAGAAGAGGAGGCTCAGGGGAGACCTCATCACTCTACAACTCCCTGAAAGGAGGTTGTAGCCAGGTGGACATCGGACTCTTCTCCCAGGCAACCAGGAGTAGGACAAGAGGGCACAGTCTTAAGCTCTGCCAGGAGAGGTTTGGATTGGATATTTGGAAGAACTGTTTTACAGAGAGCGTAATCAGACATTGGAATGGGCTGCCCAGGGAGGTGGTGGATTCACCGTCCCTGGAGGTTTTTAAGATGAGACTGGATGTGGCACTTAGTGCCATGGTCTAGTAACCACAGAGGTTTTGGATCAGGGGTTGCACTTGAGGATCTCAGAGGTCTTTTCCAACCCAATTGATTCTTTGATTCTATGATTAAAAATCATAATGCCTAGAATCAAAATCACTGTCATTTCTGTATCACCTCCATTTGGGATTCAGAATACATTAGTCCACAAGCAGTCCTAATGTTAAATGAGGCAAAACTTTAATCCTTCAATCACAGTGTCCAATGATCCTTCTTCAGCTTTTACTCAGGCAACACTTCTCATAATGCCATGTTTTTGTTCTTTGACAGAGTGTCCATTTTATCTCAAAACCTTGTATAAATAAAATTCTAATTAACCTCTGTTGACATTTTTAAAAAGGAACCTTAGCAACTCACCAATTACAAATTAATTTTTTATAGATGGACTTGCAAAATTTTATTTTCTGTTTAGTTCCTCTGACAGACATTGGAGAGCTTATGGGAAGGCACACAGGCGAAGCTGCCCTTGAAACCTTGCTATATCAGTTGGAATAAATTACCAGCTTTCAAGTCTTGTAAGCAAGCACAGCACATGCATAACTGAAGTCAGTAGAAAAATTAAGTGTATAGGTCTAGTCCTTGCAACTCTTCAGTTTTGCAGCTTCTGTTGAACATAGAAACTTGTGGTAGCTCAGCACCCCTTAGGATTTAGCTGTATGTAAGCATGGGAAAACTGGGTATACCATTGCTCAGCGAGTGCTGGAGAAAAGCTAAATTTAAAAGAAGGGCTTTTCTTGAGTCATGTGGCATTCTTGGACTTGAGAGACTTTTACAGAGACCTTGAAATACTGAGATTTCATCCCTCCTTCCTTCTATTCCTACTAAGAACTGGATTCTAAAATAACATATCTCTTGCTGAGGGAGCAAACTAAAATTCCTGTGTAAAAGGCAGAGTCCTATGCTGTGTTTTAAAGGTCTCAAGAGAAATTTCTAAATGTGACATGAATATCTGAACTAAGGAGCTGAAAACTTGGCTTCTGCCAGTAGATATTCAATTGCAAAGAGATGCAGAAATACAGGATTTTGCAGCAAGAACAGGACATCGTAATTTCAATATTAACAAACCAGGTGGAAACACATGGCAATCTGGTGTTTCAACATGTAAATGACATGTAAAATACAAGCCTCCCTCCTGTCAGTAGTAATCAAATGTACCTCTGTTATGCCTGTTTGACAAGGGCTGGGTATCATTAAAAATGTAAGAACACCAGAGCTAGATCCCAAGTTTGTCTTGCACAGTGGTACTCTGACTCAGCTGGTAGTAGTTACATAGGTAAAAATGTTAACAAATGTGTTGTCATTTAATTTTTGTTCTTTTTCCGTGGCTGCTGGCACATACTGCTCAAGAGAAATTTGAAATATGAAATATGCAGAGAAGGGTAGGGGGAGTGGAAAGGAACCAGACAGCGAATAGAACTGAAAACCATTAGTCTAGCATACAAAGAAACACTTACTGATTTGCTATCAAATTCCTGCTTCAAGATCCCCACTGAAATCCTGTTGTGTTCTGAGACTCACAGTATGCCAGGACAGCAGTTAAATAACTGAATATCAGCACAATTTGCTTCTCTATGAAACTATTTTCATATGCTCAGGGCTGCTTAGTAAAACTTGTTTCAGATTTTTAGCAATCATTCCATATTGGGATGGCAGGGATGGTGCAGGGAAGTATTGTAGTTACCATCTTTTTTTTTAATAGTACCTGCATTGTTCTTGTATTTTGCCATGGGTTGTTTTTTTGTTTTCTGGAGGGTTTTTTTTCCTTCAGATGGTGATATCTTATTACAAGATCTTGTTTATAATCCTTCATTACCCTGCTTGGTAATAGTTCTTTCTGTAGTACCTGAGCTGATGATTTATTCAAATGAAAATCACTTGGCTCCATAGCATGATGCCTTGTATAACACTATCTTTAAATTAAAAGGCCTTGCCTGAGCATGATTGTTCAGTAAAGGCAGAACTACTGCAAGGAAAATCTCTAGCACTTGCTGTTGAATTATCAGCCCTACAGGTCTTCTGGTCTGCTGACTTGTGAGAAGCAGCACAATTGCAAAGGCATGCTATGTATCTGTCGGAAGCAGATGTCAAATGACATCTCCTTAGATTTAAGCAAGTTTGTTTTGGAAAAAAGAAAAGAGAATAGGTCATTAAAGCATGTAAGCATTCCTCCTAACTTGAGATAAGATCTGTCGGCAGCATTGTGGTCAGCTCAGCAGAGCTTAGCTG